ATGGGAGGATATGATTTGAATTTTTAAATCTAAAATGTTAAATTAGATTTCTGTGATGATTTGTTGTTTATAAATAATTTATGAACTTGGATTTCTGTTTATGATACTTCAAGGATAGTTTAAATGATTTTTTTAAATAAAAATTATAAGTTTCAGCATTTTAATTATCACTTGCTCAGACCCAAGTTGCTTGTGTCTAGTATAATAGTAGACTCAAGGCTTCTAAGTCTAACATGGTCATTAGACCCAAGTCGCGTGAGTTTAACTTGGTTGCTAGGCCTAGGTGCTTGGGCCATGCTAGACTAGACATTGAGTTAAAAATAAATATAGTTAAGAAAAAAGAAACAAAACGAGAGAGAGAGAGAGAGAGAGAGAGAGAGAGAGAGAGAGAGAGAGAGAGAGAGAGAGAGAGAGAGAGAGAGAGAGAGAAGAAGAAGAAGAAGAAGAAGAAGATGGAATTTCTATTGAAGAAATAACAAATTTATAAATATAAAAAATAAACTATTTTAATAGGAAGATATGATTTGAATTTTTAGATTTAAAATGTTAAATTAGATTTTTATGATGATTTATTGTTTATAAATAATTTCTTAACTTCGATTATTATTAAAAAGACATTAAGGATAATTTAAATGTTTTTTATAAAAAATAAAAAAATTTATGTGTCTTAACATTTTAATTATCACCTGTTTAGACCCAAGTTGTGTGGGTCTGACATGATTGTCGAGCCTAAGTGCTTGTGTCATGTCAGCCCAGACATTAAATTAAAAATAAATGGTTAAAAAGGAGAAAAAAAGATAAAAAATAGAAGAGAGAAAAAAAAGAGAGAGAAGATAGAATTTCTATTAAAGGAATAACAAATTTATAAATATAAAAAAATAAACTATTTCAATAGAAAGAGATGATTTGAATTTTTAGATTTAAAATGTTAAATATATTTTTTGTGATGATTTATTGTTTATAAACAATTTTTAACTTAGATTTTTGTTTATGATACTTTAAGGATAATTTAAATATGTTTTTAGAAAAAAATAAAAAAAATAATAAGTTTCAACATTTTAATTATCACCTGCTCAGACTAAAGTTGTTTACGCTGACATTACTATCAAACTCAAATCGCTTGGGTTTGACATAGCCAGCAAACCTAAGATATATAAGTATGGTAGACCCTGACACGAGTCTAGCATGGACCCAAGGTGCCTAGGTTTAATAGCAACATCCGACCTAAGGTGCTTGGGTATAACAAACATGCCTTATCTAACAAACAAGAGATAAATATTATAATTGTGCACTTTAGTTGCTAGGAGAAAGAAAAGAAAAAAATATACACAATCGATTACCGATTACAAACCAACCATTATTTATTTATACGCACTATATTATATGGAAGAGAGCACAACTGCGCATCTAGTGAAACAATAAATGACCAAATTTAATAACTAGGAAGTGTCACACACATTTTCTTAATGGGATAGACATTACTTATTAGCTAAGAAAAAAAAAACAAACAAAAAAAATCCCATAAAAAGATAAAAAATTAAAAGTTAAACGATTATTATATTGATTTTCAGTGATTTCCCTCAGAGATTTAACCTTTGTTATAATAATTATATTGCACGTCACTGAATATTTAATTGGTGAAGAGTTTGTTATTTCATGGCCGAGGACACAGACCCTCTCGGACTCTTGGCTTTTGCCTAGTTCATTCGATTCAATTTACAACGTACTGTGGCAAGGTAGCAACTCACTAGTAACACACAGCGTATTTTCGTTGGTAATGCTCCCCGGATACTGGTTCAATGATCCCAATCAAATGGACCACAGTCCTTGTATCTGCTTTCCTAAAGGTTGAATAACGAGTATTCTTGAAAATCGAAATATATCAAACACATCATGCGTGTGTGCCCTACAAGCAATTGAATGGCCCAAAATGCCAACATTCTAACATAAATTGATTCAAAAGTTGCGTGTTCTCCGGTGTCCGAAGAACAGGATACAAAGACATTCTGAAACAAAGCAAAGCAAACCACCGGTGCTATTTTCTTTTTCTAACGCTTGAATGCCCAGTTATGGGCACTCCGAGGTGCACTTGAAATGCCCTCATAATATCGAGATTCAAGCTTCTGAGAGTTCCAGTCTTTGACAAAAACTGAACAATTCTCGTGCAGACTCAGACGAAAGATCAGAGAAAAACATTTTCTTCTTCTCTTTTAGCCATGTAGCGAACTCGTTATTCTTGGAGAAGTAGTCGTCATTAGACAGCTCTTGAAACTCAGATTTCTAAGGGGACAAAAATTAACAGCAGACATTAGTGAAATAATGTTTAAACACTATAAATAAATCTATAGATGCCGACCATCCAACATCACATTCAAATTCAAATATATAACACCTGAAAGTTCCACACTAATTTGTCAACTTTCAGCACTTCAAATTTCGAGTTGTATACCTATGAATTATGATAGAGTTATACGATGTGTATGGCATAATGATTTCCTACTTTTGACTGTTCTAATCAAGAACTTTCAATCTAAGCAAATTCTTCCAAGCAAAATACTCCATGCATGATCTGCATCAAAGACAACCAAATTAAGTGCAATAACTGTTCCAGCCATTTATAGAATTTAGAAATTATTTCCACTTTCAGAATAGGATGCTTCCCTGGCCTGGTTACTTATACCACCATTAACAGCACCCAAGTAAAAATTTGAACAGATTTTACAAAAAATCAGGCCCTAAAATCTCCTGACTTCAAAAGAAATAGTACTTTTGCCATTGAAATAGGAAAACTGCATTTAGCTATTACATAGGTAGAGCTTAGGGCCATGCATTACATGAAACAAAGGGCATCTAGAACTATCTTCCATTTTGCTGTGTATGGCCCGATAATTGATGTGTAGATTAAGAATTACGTTCAAGTTTGCAGAGTACAATCAAAATTCTTCCCCAGCCCAAGGACAATGGCCATGCAAGCGGTGGATACAACTTGCAAAATCAAGTTTCCAAAATAGTGATTGACTCTCTCTCTGCAACTGAAATTATCATTGCAGAATAAGATTTCTTTATAATGCAACACACAAGTGGATTTTTTTTTTCCTGTCACTTGATATCACATCACCAAATAGTACATCTAGCATTATTTATGACCGCCTAGACGTCTGCTGAGGGAACCAACTAGTCTCCCCATTTAGATTTGCTTGTACTTCAGCTTACGTGGTTAGGAATTCTAGATGTATCTCAATCAAAAACTCATTGCAAAGCCTCAGCTACTATTACAGCACAAAGAGAAACTATCAAAATCGACTAAAAGTGAATTCTATTAACATTGTAGTTTTTGTTACATTTAAATTATCAAAATCAACTTGCACCAACTCAAACTTATTTCACATTTTATCCAAACATCTATTTCTCGGAATATCCTACCATTACAAGAACAGAAATTATTCAAAATCACAATCTATATAAATAAAACACACTCTTCCATTCAGGTTTAGGTGCACGAGTTGGTAAAGTGAAGGGTTAATGACACCGAGGTTAAAAATTCATAATACCAGCAGCAGCAGAATCAAAACCCCAATTACATTCACAAATCATAAAACAAGAAAATATCAAGCTAGCTTCAAGATTACATGCTGAACAAAACATACCGAGTGGTGATCCCCTTTGTGTCGTTTACTTTTGTGCTTATCCTTAGACTTCTTCTCTGAGGCAATGAATAATAGCAATGTGAAGGCAAAACAACAGCGTTGATAGTACTTAATGCTTCACATACATAACAAACACAAAGAAACTACAGAAGTATACCTTTATCAGAGTGGTGCCTATGAGACTTCTTGTCCTTTCTCTTCTCTTTCTTATCACTCTTTCTATTTCTCCTTTCATCATCACTTCTCCGTCTTTTCCTGCTTCTTCCTTCATCTACACATTCACAATCAATGCCAAATTTAGAACACAACATAACAATCCCATCTTCTGTTTGGTTGCTGATAAAACAAAGAGAAAGAAGAAATCCCTACTGTTTGAGACCTTAAAGACCATAAGAAAATCATTTTCTTTTTTTTTTCCTGATAAAACTACTGACATAATTGTGGTGGGCTGTTCCATTTAATTCAAATCCCGGCAAGAAAAGGCTCCGTTTGGTTGCTCCGAATGTGCAGGAAAGCAAACAACTTTCACATTTGAGACCAATAGCACATAAAAATCCGGACTTTTGGGTTCCAACTGCAACTTCATAGCTTAATTGAGGTGGGTTTTCATTTTATAAGAAGCCCAAAAATGAAAAGATATTATATCAATTGAGGATGCTTTCAATTTTCGTTTTCCTTTTCATTTTCTCGAAGAAAAAAAAAAACAGAAAACCCCCCCAGAAAAATGAGAACCTTCAGATGAAGACAGAGAGGAGGTTCTCTTCCTGCTCTTCTTCTCCTTCCCCTTCCCGTCGATTCCCATGTTCGGCGAAAAAAGTTTTGTCGGAGAGAAAAGTTACGTGCAGCACATAACGAGACGAGATTGAAAATTGTAAGAGAAACTTGAGAAAACGAGTTTATAATCCGACGTAAGAAGACGGCTGAGAAGCTCTTTACGGATCAAAATGGATTGAGCCCGGACTCTTATGTTGGCCGGAACTTGATAAACTCTGAAATTCTTGTCGGAGGCCTCAAGTTTTAAAGGCCAAAAATCTGAAAAATATGATTTTTTTTTTTTTTGAGTTCGAGTCTTGTAGTTTAAAGTATTTATATTAAAATAATATTTTTTTTATTTTTTAAAATTTTTAAAAAACACGATTTTAAAACTGCTTTTAATTTGATGAAAGAGTGAATCGTCAGAAAATATATCCACAACACATCAATTTGTTTTCCATTCCAATCAACCTAAAAGAAATAAATCAATTTTTTTTTTAAAAGAAATTAACTTGGCGAAATGTGGCTTCAATCGAAGGAGTAGACATGAAAACCCCACCCATCTATATCTATTTTTTTGTAAAATGGACCATTTGGAATCATGTATCCAAAATAAGATGTTTCCTTCCGCACGTGTCGTCTAGTCTGGTCCGCTCTGCTCCCTCTATTACTGTGTTCTTCACTTGCAAATCCTTCGTCTGCATCAAGGGGAAAAACAGAAAGGTTTTGTAGAGGAAAGAAAGATGACGGGGGGGAACATGACTCGAGCAAGTCTTTTTCCCACAAAAGATTCAAAATCTCATCTTCCACGCCAAATGGGTATGGGCTTCTCTCTTCTTTCAGTAGCAGCCGTAGGAAGGGCTACTTTGGTAACCTTGATAATGCTTTAGCTTCTTTTAATCGCATGCTTGATAGGAATCCTCAGCCTCCTATTATCGAGTTTAATCGGTTATTATCTTCAGTTGTGAGGATGAAAAAATATGAGACCGTTGTTTCTTTGTTCAAAGAAATGGAATTTAGAGGAATCAAACACAATGTCTGTACTCTTAGCATTTTGATTAATTGCTTCTGCTTCTTGCATCATGTGGATTATGGGTTCTCTGTTTTTGGAAAGACCCTTAAACGTGGTTTTAAGCCTGATGTTGTAATATTTACTACCTTGATAGATGGGGTCTGTAGGATTGGGAAAACCGAGGTTGCTGCTGGGTTGCTTAAGGAAATGGGACTTGTAGGTTGTGTTCCAGATGTTGTTACTTGCAATTCGCTAATGCGTGGATATTCTTCGCAAGGGAAAATCGACAAGGTTAGAAAAATATTTCATTTGATGGCGAGTAAAGGTCTTAAACCTGATGTTTATAGTTACAGTATCTTCATCAATGGGTACTGCAAGGTTGAAAAAATAGATGAGGCTATGGAACTTTTTGATGAAATGTCTCATAGAGGTGTGGTGCCTAATGCGGTTACTTATAATACTCTGATGAAGGCCTTGTGTCAAGCTTTGAGACCTCGGGATGCACAAGTGCTTTTCAGGAAGATGTGTGCTTGTGGCCTTTCTCCTGATATATTAGCTTACTCTACTTTGCTTGATGGGTTCTGTAAACAAGGGAATCTTGATAAGATGTTGGTGCTATTTCAAGAGATGCAAAGGCGTCTTGTGAAGCCTGACCTGGTAGTCTACACCATCTTAATTAATGGAATGTGCAAGTCCAGAAAGGTTAAAGAAGCAAAGGAACTACTTTCTCGACTCATTGTTGAAGGGCTTAAGCCTGATGTTCATACCTACACTGCATTAGTTGATGGGCTTTGCAGAGAAGGATCACTAAGTGAAGCACAGAGACTTTTTAGAAAAATGGAAGAGGATGGCTGCATGCCAGGAAGTTGCTCTTATAATGTCCTTCTCCAAGGATGTCTCCAACACAAGGATACATCAACAGTAGTGCAACTTATCCATGAAATGGCTGATCGAGGATTCCATGCAGATGCTGTCACGAGAACCTTTCTGAAAGATTTTCTACCCGGCAACGACAGTCCTGCAATAAAACAACGGCTAGGACTCTTAGAAGGGCATCAAGGTGTGAAGGTGAAGTAAGCTTTGAATTGTTAATGCTGCTTTGATCATTGTGGCAAACTGAAAGTTAATACATCTATTAACATTGTAGTTTTTGTTACATTTGATCCTTGCATTTACATGATATATTTGTTTTCTATATATATATATATATATATAGAGCACAAATATCATCTTTTTGACCTTATAGGCACTGATTATTTATCTGACCTTGTAGATGCTTGTAAAAAAACAAGAAATACAAACTGAATTAGTACATTTATTTCACCAAAGAAGTTGAAAGTCTCTGTGTGCGCGCTCGCTCACATAAGCTTTTGTTCCTGTATCTCTTCCCCAAGCACCTTCATGAATGAAAATAAATGGAAGAAACTCTATTTACTAGAGAAAACTCCAAACATCATCATTCTGGATAAAACTTGATATAGTTTGAGTAATTCCAAAACTACAAGTCGCTTGTTTTGTTCACAACTGATTGTATGATTTTCATCATGAAAGCTTATTACGACAGCTCTGTCAAAAGGATTCAAACTATCCATATTGATTTCAAAAAAGCAAAATAAAAATCACCTAACCATAGAAATGATTTAATTTTATTTCCCCTTTCATCTCAATTACAGGAATGAACATGATATAATTATAGAGCTGCACATCATATAGCTGATGAGAGAGTGAATACATCATGTATGTAGTAAAAACCCCCTTATTCATTTCATTTTAAAACTTAGAACCTATCAACAATTCTGAGAGCAGCTTCGGAAAGTGCTTCATAAACCCTCATCTCATAAACAACAAGACTAGGAAGTTTCCATTTGGATTCGTCAAAGGTTTCCCTGCAAAAGAGCTCGTGTTCAAGTGCTGACTTAACACCGGAATTAGCCTTGTCATAATCACCAATCTTTAACAAAGAAACAGCCTTCAAAAGATTCTTGTTTGCTTTCACATAACCTTTGCTACAACTTTGACAAGCAGATTTCAGCTTCTTGTCTTCTTCCTTAGAGGCTAGCTTTGTCATGTCGGATGCCAAGGTCTTCGAATGACTGCTTAGACAGTTTATGACAATGGCAGCAATTCCTACCTTGTCAGCATGTGGGGCTCTGGGGTCAGATTTTAAGCATTGGATGCATAGTGTTGGTGTTTCTGCATGATGACATTGTAGCTTGATTAACTTATCATCAGCTTTAACAAGGTTGTGGGTGCCAAACAAGACTGGGGAAAGGGCTGTAAGAAGAACAAGAAAAAGGACACGATGAATGGAAGAAGCCATTGTCTCAACATGAACTAACGATTCTTGTGGTTTAGTGCATGTTTCTCTCGTGATATATATATATATATGCTAAGAAATGCTTTGAGAAGGGTAGTTTCAGAACCGATAATCACAAATTTGGTGTTTTTATTTCGTCAAAATTTCTATTTGAGTTTCTGTACATTTAAGAATATTAATTTTGAGATCCAACGTTTCAGAACCAATAATCACAAATTTGGTGTTTTTATTTCGTCAAAATTTCTATTTGAGTTTCTGTACATTTAAGAATATTAATTTTGAGATCCAACCCATCTATGTTTGAGAAGGTTATTTTTAAAACCAAAATGCTTGACTTGATTGATCATTTTTCAAAAATAAAAGAGCCAAAATAGAAAAAATAATAATTAAAGTTTAGGATCTCAAATAAGATGGTGTGTGGGATCAAAATTACTCAGTGGACTCCATTGTTTGAGTGGGAAGAAATGCGTTTTACTCGTTAGAGAAACGCTAAGGTGGAGTCATTAATTGACAAATTGACAATCTATAGGTTGGACATAAATTGCGGTTACACTTCTCTTTCAAATCCTTTTATGGAACAAAAAGACAAGCTTACAATTAATCTGTTTCTCTTTTGCTCTTGAGGAAATGCAAGTTGCAGCCCATAATTGGTGGTTCGCCAGCTGTTATTGGTTAAAAAGACAAGCACTAGTTTTTATAGAATTTGAGGTTTTGTGACTCTTTACATTCTCATTTTCGCAGGACCATCATCTTAATTTGATGAGTTGATTAGGATCGATAAAAGTAAAATTTTTAAAGAAATTGATTTTTAATTTTATATTAAATAGAAAACCTTGAAAAATCTATATTGTCTTTACAAAATATAGTCACTAAACTTATCAAAAATTCTTTTGAGACTAGGTAATAAGTCTACCTCTAATCTAGTAGCTTAGAACTTGTACTTGAGAAATTAACTCTTTAATAATTTATTTTACATCAAGATATATCTAATCAAAATATTAGACTTTATAGGATTTTTTGAGCTAAAATCATGACTTCAATAATTTTTTTTCAATACCGGAGAAGATAGAAGATGATGCAATTAATTAAAAGGGATTATCCAAGAACCAATGTCGGGCGATTATCGCGCATGATCAAAATATATTGCTTTGTAAATAATATAGAGAAACTTGTGTCGGTCTTGGGATATGTGGACGGGACCTTGTTCGAGAGAAGGTATAGGAAAATTGCCCATCTAGTAAGGCTCGCAATATAGATTTTTGCAGTCAAGGCCTTAATGCTTTTTTGGGATTCAGGTTATAGATGTTTCATCTTCAGAAATATTGACATGACGCCTGCAATTAAGGAGTATACTCAGATACTAAACTTCCCAAGCAACCCTCATGAGATGTACTTTAGTTAAAGGATTAGAGACAAGATTATCGAGGTTGTCAAATTGTTGTACCTAGACCAAGTCGATTAGTATAGAACAACCAACACGGGGTTCAAGTAGAAACTTATTGAGACTAAGCTGGAGGCAAATAAAGATAAGGGAAAGTAAGGAGAAGAGAGAAGATGGTTACTTTTGCTATCTTTGGGTTAGTATTATTTTCTTCAAAAGTGTTGGGATCATTAGTATCGAAAGCGTTAATGCCTTTATTAAATATGAATTGACAAAGAGAAAGCCTTCTTTAGCTGTCTTAGCATAAACTTTCTTGTCACTAAATCATTATAGTATGTATGAAAAGGGAGCAATGTAGTGTTGTATTTCTCTCTTATTCATATAGATAGTTAGTCATTTGGAAACATCGAGAGAGGTTTTCAATAACTTCTAGTGGTTTAACATTAGGCCTTTAAAGCGAACTTTGAGTGAATATTAGAACAACCTAGATGAAAAGGCATGAGTAGAAAAATACTAAGCACTTTCTCAAAGTAACTTCATATGAAAAACCCCTTAGGTAGATAATTCATCTTATGTTATGAGCTTAGGAGATAAAGCATAGGTCTCACTATTTAGTTTAACTGGTTACATAAATTACTCACCCATATTAATCATCAGGCTAATAAGAGACATTTAACATGTGCTAAGGACATGGGGTTTAACCGAGTATATCAAATTTTTTAAGGATTTTGATTTTTTAATTAAGTTAGAAGCTAGCAGACATGATTAAGGGCAACTTGTATTAGTTTATAAAGGTTAAAGAGATAGGAGATCCTCAATTAGCCCTAATTACTTAGTATAGAGAAACAATAGATTATCCGAAGTACTTGGAAACATGAGAATACAAGGTAAAATATTAGTTAGCAAAGTGGGATCATCTGTCACTAGTGAGCTTAAAAGAAAAAGGTCATCAACAAACAAAAGTTATGAGATGAGTTGGATAAGTTGAGAATTGAGCCAAGTAGCAATATGAGTCAGTAAAAATTCTTAGAAAACCAATTATTTAGAGAAGAAGAAAGGATAAAGGCCTTTTTAAACCAACAATTGAGAGATAATGATGAATGGATGGTTATGCTAATGCAAGACTTAGAATAAGGAAAGAACAATTAAGAGATGGTTATGAAGTTTGGGCAAATTATGCATAAGATCCATGAGTAGTTAAAAGAAAGAGCGGCTAAGTATTATGACCTAGTAAACAAGCATGTGATGTTGGAAAATGAACTAGTAGCTATGAAAAAGGGTTCTGAAGATAGGAGATATTTTGAAAAATAATTGATAACTTTTTTTTGAAGAAAAAAAGGATCGCAATAGAATGAGGTTGGTGACCGAAAAAGAGAAGAATAAATTGGCTAATATCAATATTAAGGAAGAAAGAAGTTTAAGAGTTTAGTAGAAAGCCTAAGTTAATGATGAGAGAGAAATAAGAAAGGCAACCAAGTCAGATATAAAAAGTGTCAAAATAAAGGAAATGCTTTGAGAGATCAGGTCTCTATAGTCTAATATGAGGAGGAGTTAAAGAAGCTAGAAGAGCAATATCTAGAGTCTGAAGAAGAATTGATGGAATTGAGACAAAAATTCAAGGAGTGGAAAAATCATATTAGTCACTTTGACATATAGTTGAACATGAAAATAATTGAGTTTGACATTAAACAAGAAGAACTTTATAGGGATAAGAATTTGATTCAATAGCTAGAGAGAATGGTTTAGATATTGAATAAAAACAACGAGTCGCTGGCTGTAAGCAATGATGCACTACTTCAGGACAACAATTTGTTCCATTAAAAAATGAAGTAGACAAACATGTTGATTTATATGATGGCTCAAAAGGTAAATGACTTGCAAGTAAAGGCCTCTATAATCTGCAATAATGTTGGCAAGTATGAAAGGTATTTGAATGACATTTCTTTTGAGAATGAGTAAAGATGTATACAAGTCTTATTCCATAATATAAACTCCTTGTATGAATTACTAATTCATGATGAATGAAAACGGCTTATACCTAATATTTTATGGTACTTTCTAATATGTATGGAATTCAACTAATTCAAAAACTTAGGGAAAAATCTTTTCACTTCTATCAAACTACGGATTTCACTTGTGCTCAACAAGAAAGTTATGGATTAACTCATAAAATAAGTTAATCCATATTCAATGTGTGTGTAGATACACTTGTATTGATAAATATAAATTCGTATTGATTAATACTTAAAAGTGCATTTTTATCAAGGTTTTATATCATCATTTTGCACTTGAAGTATCAATAACTCCTTAACCAAAGCATGTTTTATAATAATATATCTAATAATATAAGATACCTTTAATTTATGGTAAATGTTCATTTTAAATGCAGGCCTATCACATAAATGAAAGGATTGATTGATGAATTTAAAAACTGAAATTGAAAGGACAAAGAGATGGCCAAACTTAGAAAAGAGATGCTGGTGCAGTCCAAACCGGAATACTGTTCAGTAATTGGGTTATATCTAGAGCTGTAGATCTCAGATTTAGGTCTACTTTATATGGATGGAAAGGTAAGACATAGGCTTACAACTTTCATATAGAGCCCAAGTTCTAAAAAGACTATTTTCAAGTCCAAATTGGAGCAACAACAAAAAAGTCCGAATATGTCCTCTAGCCCGAGCACTGTTCAGTGTTTGGCCCATATCTAGAGTTCTAGAAGTCAAAATGATCTGAATTTTTTATATAAGAAAGATAAGACAATTTACTACAACTTTCATGTCAAGTGGTTCCAATTTTGACATTATCAATGATGTTTTGGGCAGACAAGAGAAGATAAGGATTGTCACCAAGTCAAGAGTTGGCCATGCACTTATCAATTAGTCATCAAATTAATAGTTCCTAATTTTGACTCGTAAAAAGAGGCATTTGCTATGCATTTAGACATCTTGGTTTCCAAATCAAAATCATGCTCTTGCATAAAAGGAGGCATTTGCCATGCATTTAGGCATTTTGATTTTCAAATCAAGATCATGCTCTTGCTTTCTCTCTTTATATTCTTGTAATGTTTAAGTTTTGCTTCATTAATATCAAGTTTATGCCTTTCAATTCCTTTCCTTTACTTAGTTAACTTTTATCTTATTTATGTTCTTATTTTGTTTATTTATTTTTCTTTTTTTTCATTAAGTTTAGCTAAGTTTATTATGTCAAGGTGAAAAGGTTACAC